CTTCTCATCCTGTATTAGTAAGGAAAACATAGAGCCCATTACACCCATAAACATGCATTGCCTTTCTGCGTTCCTTTTCCAGAGAAACGTAAGAATTCACAAAGTAGATATGGTGAAGAAAGCAGAAGAAAAATACCAGGTGAGGTTCCTGCTTGAGTTAATCGAATGATGTGCTTCTGGATATTTATGTATGTACATTTATGCAAGTGAGGATTCCCAGGTAAGATCCTCCCTCTATTGTGTGGGCAGGAATCCCTCCCCTACCTGGCCTGGTCTCCTTGGCAACGCTCCCCCAGCTGGGATTGGACAACTGACTGAGGTAGGCGGAGACCTCCAGGTATCCCACCTGAGGGAAGGCAAGGCCAAGCCTATGCTGCTGGAGCCGCTCCAGATCTAGGGGCTGCACGCGTCCACGCAAAGGGCGCCCCCCGTTTTAAGCAGGGAGCGGTCATTATGCTTTAAAGCACTGAAAACCAGCACTGCTGTACAGTGATTAAAGCTAAAGCAAAGCTGTGCATGCAAACTTCCATTCAGCTTTGAAAAGAAAGTACCATTACAAGGAAGTGTTATAGGGAAAGGAGGATTAGTATTGAAAAAAGGCAGAGGAATTGTTGTGGCTAGGAAGGGGGCTGGGGGCGAGCAGGCAATGATTCAGATGCACCTGATCCAATCTCCCCAGACCAACGTTGTGTGTCACAGTACACCTTCTGAACCCGTCCTCTCAGACTTTTTTAGTGGTGTTAAGGGAATTTCCCCTTGCCAATGAAAGGAACTTTTGTGGAGGGAATCGGATGGTGTACAGCACAGGACATATTATCCTCCAGCTGAACTGCCTCTCTTGCTTCTGCTCTATACTGAAGACAAGCAAACCACAGGCCGGTTTGTTTTCTTCAGCTTTATGAATTCCCAAGTCCAGGCTGACTGAGGGCTTGTACTTGTGCAGCTGCATATTCTTCATTTTGAGCCAGGCTGGGGCAAGGCTGAGGGAAGGAATAGGAGATCTACCTGTCCTTTGGGAGAAATGCTGCTCCCTTTCCTCTTCTGCACTTAGGCTCCTATGTAAAACACCTGCTTTACAAAATACAGTAATAATACCTTTCTGTATTTGTATTCTTGTCTTTCCAGAGAAATGTAAGAAATGTAAGGTGAATTTCCTGATTGAGTTACTCTAATATTGTGCTTCATGATATTTCAGAAATAGATAGCCCTCCTCCACCTCTTCTTTTCTTCTTTTTAAAAGTATGGCCAGAGAGTGTGTGGAGCTCCTGCCTCCATGCACATTGAATTCAGTATAGCTAGACCTTCTCAGAGTACTGGGTTTTGAGGACGTACCTCTCTGCAGGGGAATTTTGCATGTTATATATGAGAGGCTAAGGTGGTGGTGGGGGTTTGCATGAAAATATATGAATTTTTTAATGAAATACCATCAAGACCTGACATGCCCAGGTATATTGGTTTCTTATAAAAAGCTGCTAATAAAATATTTTAAGTGTGTTTCAAGTGCAATATCCAATGTGACGCTAGATGGCAATGGTGAGCCTTATGGAAAATTCAATGTATTTTTAAAAACGGTTTTAAAGTCATTTTTGGAACGGTTTTTATATGCATGTAGATTCCACCAAAGTGTCTTTCCATAAATCCTGATATCTCACAGGCACCCTGATTTTGAATGGCTCCCAGTTCTCACAATGTATTGCTTTTAGTGCATTTCACTTTTTAGTCCTGTGTGGAGGAAATGTAATTTTTTTCTTTTCTCTCCCTGCCCCCTCCTTTTCCAAATGAATTAAAGGCAATAAATGATAAGTCTTGCAAAATTGTTCAGGTTTGAACATGTAAATCCAAATGACTTTCTCCATTTTGCCATCCAATGTGGTGGGAGGTGTGTGTGTTGGGGGGGACGGACAGCTTGGGTGTGCTGGAACTTTGTGCATGCCCCAGAACTATGTGCCTAGTTTGGTTTTGTTCTGTGCAACAAATGCTGTGTCATTGCCAAGCAGCCATTCTTGGCCTTGACATAGTGATATTGTCATAACCTGCTGAGGAGAAATGGCAGCTAGTAGTGCTCTCTGTCTCTATAAATCAGAAAAGAAAAGTAATTCTTTCTTTGTTTTCTCCCCCCGCTTCTTTCGCAGATAAATTAGTAGCAGAGAATAGTAAGTCTTGCAAAATCTTTCCGTTCTTGAACATGCAGAATTCAAGTGACTTCCTCCATTTTGCCATCCCATATATGTTTACTGAGCAGCTTGGGTCTGCTAGAACTTTGAACATGCCCCAGAACTATATCATACCCTTCAACATTTCTCTGATGAAAATAGGGGCATGAAGTGTCTAGTTTGGTTTTGATCTGTGCATTGAATGTTGTGTCATTGCCAAACAGCCATACTTGGTCTTGACATGGCAGCTAGGAGTGTTCTGTGTCTCTATAAATTGGGGAAAAAATGTAATTCTTTCTTTTTTTCTACCCCTTCCCTTTGCAGTTGAATTAAAGGAAAGGCTTGGTAAGTCTTCCAAAATCTTTCAGTTTTTTAACATGCAGAATCCAAGTGACTTCCTCCATTTTGCCATCATATGGATGTGGGTGGGGTGGGAGGGTTACTGAGCAGCTTTGGTCTGCTAGAACTTTGAACATGCCCCAGAACTATATAATACCCTTCAACATTTCTCTGATGAAAATAGGGGCATAAAGTGTCTAGATTGGTTTTGATCTGTGCAATAAATGTTGTGTCATTGCCAAACAGCCATACTTGGTCTTGACATGGCAGCTAGTAGTGCTCTCTGTCTCTATAAATCAGAGAAGAGATGCTTTTGACATCAAAGCCTCAAGAAAAAAGCACTGATGCAAGCAATGTACCCAACTAAAATATTTCTCCCATTACCCTCCTCCCCGCAATCCCTTCCATTTTGACTCAACCTGAACCAAAGGTTCCCTTCCTCTGATGGAAGGAGTATCCTATTTATTATAAAATGTATATCCCATAGAGGTATCAAAGCATCTTACAACAATAAAATATACAATATACAAAATTCAAAACATAAATTAGACATTTGACAGAAGAAGACTTCCATCTGTGGAAGGGTCCTTTGGGTACAAATATTTGTTACTAATTCTAGTTTACAAACTGATTTTCTTGGAATTTGTTTTTCTTTTTTAATTTGAATGAGGCTCTTCATTTCTAAGCCATGCAAATTTTCTTTTGCAGAAACCTTGAAGATCGAAAAAGGCAAGTAGCCTAACATTTTGTATATGTGTTGCAAAAATATATATTCCTGAATCATAAAAATACCACACGTTCCATAACCACTTCATTTCCCCGTTTCTTTGCACTTAATCCAGGAATTAATCAAAACGGGGTGTGTTCCAAAGAGGAGACAATTTTCTTCAGATTTGGACATAAGGAGATTTGAACAGCTGCTAAATTTCATTTCATATCATATCATATCATATCATATCTGTGCAGAGTTTTGAAAAAGCTATCAGTGCTGCATTTTCCTCATCTTAGAAATATGTAATATTATGATTTATAGTTGTGCCTGAGATGAGTAGATACTAACTTATGCTTTTAGAATATATATTTTTAATGAAATATTTATTATAATAGTTGTTTTGATTGTGGTCTTTTGACAAAGGGTGGTTTATTAAATCCACCCACCCACCCACCCACCCACCCACCCACCCACCCACAATATCCATCTACATACAGGATCTTCCAGACCTTAGTTAATGGGGTGAAAAAGGTATGAAAAGAGCTTCTTTGAGCATTTAATTAAACACGATCCGAATCCGCCAGGGTTTTCACACTAAAGCTTCCATGTATGTTCAGCTGAAAGCAAGTTAAAGCCCCCTTTAGACATTCACACTCATTGCATCAAGATCAGATAGGAGCCCATGAACATAAGGAAATGGGGGCGTGGGGCTTACACAAGCACCTCCTGACCCACCACACAATTTTACCACAGTGGAAGAAGGCTTGGGTCATACATAGCAAAGACCTATTGAAATCAAAAAGATGTAACTGAGTCGAATCTAAGTTAAACTGATTTCAAACAGCATGTTCTAAGCATGGTTAAATCTGGATCTGACCCATGGTGTTGATGTGATGTGTAAATAGGTTTATTCACCCTTTTGTATACTGCCTTAGGATCCATGGAAAGGTAGAGGAGAAATATTTTAACTGAGCAAAAAAATTAATTGTGCCTGTTTTGTAGGTTGTAGAATGAGTAAAAGTCAGTGTTTTTTCTGGGGGGACGCAGGGGTACTACACATACCCCTAAACATTTTGTGAATCTTTGTACTTTTGTCCATTTACTGTATTTATTTACCCTGATTTGAACTATAAAATGGTGATTTTCTTCAGTCAAAATGAGAGTACCACAAACATTTTTTAAGAAAAAAAGTACTGGTAAAAGTACCCATCACATTCTTACCAATGAAACCTTTCTGTTCATTCTTTTATTCACAGAATTCTCAGATGCCTGCTTATACAAAGGTGAGCAGGATGCAAAATCATTGGGCTTCTTCAAATCATCCTATAATGCGTAGCTCAAGCTGTGTACTGATAGATGGTGCTAGACTGTAAATCCCATCATCCCTCGCTATTGGTCATACTTTTTTGGGCTGATGGGAGTTGTAGTCCAGAGCCACACCTACTGGACTAGTTTACATATCTAATACTATTTGGCTTAAGATAAGCATGGACATTTTTAAATGCACATTTTGAGGGGAAACACTTTATACAATGTGTTTCAATAGACATACGGGACGGGTAGATCAATGTGGAAATGGACTGACAAATAAGCACATGCAAAAGTGAGGATGACCATAATTAGTGTGACAAGAATGTGCTTAGCACATTAAACATGTTGTAGATGGATAAAGCATAAGGAGATATGTTGAGGAATATAGAAGAATTGTTGTAGAGAGAGGATGAATCATGCAATGCAGAAAGCTTGGATATAAATTGGTATTAGTCATCATATCATAGATTCATAGAATTGTAGAGTTGTAGAGTTGCAAGGGACCCTGAGGATCAGCTAGTCGAACTGTCTCCAAGGTAGGAATATGCAGCTATCCAGCAGACAGATGAGAGTGTGGTCCACAGACGGGTGACTTAAAGGAGAGATGCCCACAGACAGCCTTACTTAATTTATACATTAATTTATACGGTTCATTTAAGTCTGTCTATTTTGAGTTCAGCCCTTTCCTTTCCTTTGCAGCTGATGTGGTCTTGGACCCCAGGACAGCTCACCCAAAGCTAAAAGTGTCTGAAGATGGCAAAAGTGTTTGGAACACAGGAAATGTTTCTAAGGTTTCTGACTGGGAGGAGCGGTTTGACTCCTGCACATTCATTCTGGCAAAACATGGATTTTCAGAAGGCAAACATTACTGGGAGGTGGGGATTGGTCAGAAGAAAACCTGGGACTTGGGAGTTGCCTCTGCAACCGCTTCTAGAAAGGGGAAGATCACCTTGTGTCCTGAGAATGGCTACTGGGTCATAGGATGTGATGATGGGAAAGATTATTGGGCTCGGACAGAGCCATGGACCCACCTGAAAGTGAACGGAAAGCTTAAAAGATTAGGAATATTCCTAGATAAATCAGCTGGAAGGTTATCTTTTTATGATGTCAGCAGTAAAAGGAAATTTCACACTTATAAAACACTTGATGTTGGGGAGCTTTATCCCTTCTTCTCCACAGGATCTGTGACTGCAGAGCTAGATAGTTCTCCACTAAGGATTCCTCCATGGAATTTGGAAGACTGATTGTGGGTACAGAATGGGAAAACATACCAGCTAGCCCTGGAATAGCTCAGAATTAGTGAAGACCTTTTGTTTAGCCAGGATTGTGGTATAAATCCAGGTGCCAAAAAAATGAGAGAAACAGAGTAGACCCAATGGCATCAATGAATTCCATCATGTTCCCACATCTAAGAAGTAGAGATGATTCAAAGTATATGGAATGTGGACAAGATTCCAAGATCTACTTGAAAGAGAAAAACCTTTATGGCTATCCCCTTTAGAAACCAGTACACAAAAGAAGTAATCTAATTAGACACAATAATATAGTAAGAGTAAATTTTTTGAGGTCTTAGAACAAAGGAAGGAAGTCAATATGTGTTTATGTACGTAATGATATGGTTTTTTTCCTGTAGATGTATGCTTTTTTGTTTTTGCTTAGTTTAGTTTTATTTCCTTTGCTTCCCCCCTTTTTCTTTTCTGTTTTTTTTTTGTATGTTCCGGTTGTTTTTTTTTGGTATAGTATTATTTTGGATTCAATGTTTGTAACCTTTGTTATGATTCTGCATTGAAAAGAAAAAAAAATTGAAAAAAAAGAAAAAAAAGAAACCAATACACAAAAGAAACTTAATATGATGGAGAGTTGGGGCAGATATAGAGACATACTGTATTTTTCTGGAAATGCATGCAAATTGAAAAAGTTTGAAGAAATCTGAGAATGGGTAATGTATTGGTTTCAATATTATGAAATTAATGAGTTATTTAAAATGTGTTTATAGAATGAAGTTCCGATTTTGAAAAGATTTTCTTAAAGGAAAAGAAAAACAGATTTAAAAAATGTATAAACTGATATTAGAATGGGAGACAAAAGATGTAATGGTTACATTAGATTAGAAATATAATAGATCATATTGTGGTTATGATTTGGTAGGTAGAAGACAGGGTGTAGTAGAAGGAGAGAAACAACAACTCCATGGAAAATGGGGGGGGGGGACAAAAATAAAATATGAAACTGTGTTTTGACTGTATATGTTAAAAATGTTGAAACTTAATAAAATATAATTTAAAAAATAAAAATGATTCAAAGCCTAGTTGTTCCTTGTAAGCATGTATAAATAGGGAAAGTAAATTTCAGTGACTGCATAAATGTTGTAGATTGTTCAACAAAGAAACTCATAGTAAATTCTATTGATTTGATTACTGTATTTTGAATAATAATAATAATTTTAGAATTGCTAAATTTAAAAGGTCAAGTTTTGGGAAGCACAGTCCCACCAGCTGTAAAGGAGGCAGGCAGTTAAAGGCTGCTCCGGAAGAAGCCGTTCCTTGGACCCATGGGCAGACTTCTATCTTTCAAATTTTGGCAGCACCCTCTGTGAACCCAGAATTTGGCACCCTGCTGCCTCACACCTTCTGTTTTGCTCAATTCATTGCAGGTAAAACACATACTCATAGAGAAGCACAGACTGGTATTCTGAAGGGCCCCCCTTTCTTCTTATGTATGAAAAAGAATCAGGATGCAGCTTCCTGGTTCAGATGCAATAATCCTTTGCAAGAATAACAAGTGATATCCACTGGTAACCCCTACCCACCCCAAGAAACTCATTGAGTTCCGTTATTCACTGTACTTTGGAAGAACCACCTGCGACATCGGGGCCCAGTACGGGCCACATGATCTCCTGCAATGATTTTGCAAAGTTTTTTGCAGATAAAATCGCTCAGATTTGGGAAGAAGTAGACTCCACCGTGGGAGCAGGGCCAGGGCG